TCGCTTGGAGTATTGTAACTAACCAAATGTTATCAAATATGTCAAACTCATCTTTTTAACAAGGTCCAACAAAATAATCAATACCGATTTCTCTACAAACAATTTGGAAAGTTATTAAGAATAGCTTACCTGTTGAATTGGCCAATCCTGAAATGGAACGTTTTAATCTCTGAAGCTGAAGTTGATTTGAGCATTAACGAATATGATTCAAATATTAACGACATTGATATGGAAATTACAAATAATAAGACGACTGAATTTAAAAAAAAACAATACATTTTATTATTATTATAACTGTAATATACTTTTTTATATGCGACGTACGTATTAAATTAAAATAATTTTTTTGTCGAATTGGCTTGGTACCTAGTTCAGTAGTTGTCGAGATATGATTACTTGAATTCCTGAAAATTTCAAATCTATCAAAATAACTGAATTTTTTATGACTGGGCGAAAATAACATTTTACTTTTATTGAATTTAATTTTTGATAATCAAAATTGGGGTATGAATAACAGCCAACAAGCTTTAACTTTATTATAATATTTTAGAAAATTATTTATCTATATCGATTATTTCGATATAAAAGAACAAAATAAAGAATATTTGTTGTTTGAGCCACCATGTATTTATCAGAATAAAATTATATACAACAAATCAAAAGAAAATTAATATATTTTCATAATTATGAAATCGGTATTTGTTAATGGTTAATTGCAATCCTAACACCTCGTGCTACTTCATTCATCTCTGTCTCCCATTTCAGCTCACTTCCGGCAGCCTCGTCTATGAATGGATTTCCAGAGACATATACTTTACATTCACCGCCTTGCCATTTAACAAAACCATTCTTAATTACTCCCCATGATTCTATTAGATTTGATTGAATATTTAAAACTCTCAAAAATTTCAAGTTGTTCACCCCACTTACACTTGATATACAATTATTACGAATGTTCGCTTCTTGTAAATGAATCAAATTAGAAAGAAAAGCAATAGAAGTAAGTTTGTTATGCGATAAATCTAATATACGAATATGTAACAAGATAGACGGGGTGGGAATAAGTGTAAGGTTTCTGCTAGTTAGTGTAAATTGAAATTGTTCTAATATAAGCGAAATATTATCCTTAAATACAATTTCTTGTGGAACGTCGGGTGATGTTTGAATCAAATTACTTGTGGCGGTTTCAAATATTGCTTTGGAACCTAATTAATATTTAATAAATTGGTTACATTACTAAATTTATAATGATTGTAGTAATCTAATCTATAAACTTACGCAAGTCTTCGAATCGTTTTGTTCTGAGTTTATCAAGATTAATCAACTGATCGCAGATTGTAATGACCTCTTCATCAAAGTTCATGGCTTCTTTGGCATTCAATCCAGAAATGTATTTAAGTTCGCGTAGGAGAATTGTTAAGGTTTGTAAACACCCTATTAATATACTTGATTATTTAAATGTTTTAATAAGGATTAAATGATAATTATGATATTACTAACATTTGCTCTCTGGTTCTATTTCCAGCAGTTCTTTCACTGTAGCGATTTCACACTTGAGACACTCGATCCTTTCTTGCATTGTCATCGGTAATATGTCTTCTCTGAAACGTGGAGATGGTGAGAGAATTGCAGTGTTTTCAGTAAGAGTTTGTGGTGACATTAATAATAGTATATCTATAAACATTAAATTTCAGAGGTTGTTAATTATAAGCTAAAAGAACAAAAAGGATTAGTATCTGTTAAATACCTTGTTCTTGTTTGAACGACTGTCCGATATGGCAATTCATTTGAACATTTCGGAATAGTTTTACTTCGGAATGAGAAGACACAATCCATTCTGGTCTCACTGTAACGACAAGTTCGACAAAGTCATTTTCCATGTCCAAGGTAAAAATCCACACGAATCCATGCATTCGTACATCTGAGTCGCTAGAGACTGAACGCCAATGCCCTTCAACAACCTTCAATTGCGAGGTATCATTTTTGCATGCAACTTGGAAAGGAACCAACATACCAACCTCATCATCAAATGCAAGAATAATTTGGCGATTTTGCGGATCATAATATGCTCCGAGAATAGAAATATGTCGAATTTCTAATTATTATCGAAAAAAAAACAATCATTGGGATCGTCTTGAAATATATTAAAATACATAAGAATACAAACCTCGGCCGATTAGCCACCAATGATAAAGCCAAGCACTTTGGTCATCCGGGTCTGTATAAAAAGCAGACTTAACAAGTTCGAATTCTTTGATAAAATGGATGTAATTGAGAATTTTAATGTATATTCTTACACTATTACTAGACGATTATAAATGTTCGTACCTCGATTTACAAGATTTTTTTTCTCTTGATCATCAAATTGTTCATCTTTCACCAATTTTGGTAACAATTTACTACGTTGATGCCACGCAGAATAATTTGAAAAGTTTTGATTGATCTTAGTAGTAGTAAAATCAAATTCCGTTCTGCAGATATTTATCGCATCTGAATCAATACAAGAAAGCTTCGATATCACATAGCGTCGGTAACCCCATCCATGAACTTTGTGATAAAAATTAGCATAAATCAGGAACGATAAAGGCCAATTCTAAAATCCGTAATAAATTGTCAATTTTGGTAAGTTCTTACAATTTCTTGCATCCATATCCAGCATTTTGCAAACAAGATCCAATTCACTTTTCCAATCAGGATCGGGCATAGTGTCTAAACACCATCGTCTATGGTTGAAAATCCAATATGATTTTGGATTAAGTCGAAAGACTTCTTGAAGGAATAATAGTTCGGAATAAAATTTTTGCTGTTTTTCTTCTTCAGAACTATTTTAATATTAATTATCAGATATGCTAATGTTTTTGAGAACTAACTGTGTTATCTAACACATACGAATCGCTTGAAATCTCGTTTAAAAGGATCAATCTCCTAAAATTCCAAATGGTATAAAAATCGGGGTTTTGTGACAAGATCTTGGTAGTTAACATAAAGGCCTCCTTGTCATATTCACATTTATTTTTCTATTATTTGTATCGATATAAAATTGCACATTAAAATCATGTCTATAATATTATAACCTTCAATATTGGACATTGAAGGTACATACCTTCTCGAAACATGCTGCCACAATACCGTTGTATTCTTTGATTTTGGACGCCTCTTTTTCCTTTCTCAACTTTTCTACTTCTGCAGTAGGTTTGACACGTTTACGGCCATGCTAATAATATTTATATATATAATTGTAATTCTTATCATTTGTCAATTTCATAGAAAGATTTTTTCATACCATGATGTGTATTTAATACATGTAAATGTTATTTATGTATCTTGAGATTGATATTACTTTTTATGATGCTAGCACACATATGAACTGGCTCAAATTATACAGTATGTCCTTTTTTGTTACCGATTTTCGTTGCGCGTCAGAATTCGATTTGCTATTAAGTTTTCTCGAGAGCTACAATGCATTCTATCTTAAAAAATGATACTTCGAAAATTTATAAAGAGTATCATCCTCATTTTGGTGATTTGCCTTTTAAACTTAATACATATTTCAAATGCCGAGATACCACCTGTTCAGGCGTGGCTCAAAACTTCATGGGAAGCTCCCCACTTGATCCTTGAAATTATGTATGTAAAACGTAAACTTTTGCAAATAAGTCTTAGAATGTAATGGTATTAATTTTGTCATTTATACTGCATTAAGTGAGTCCGTAGCCGCCGAAAATTCTTCTTCATATTTTTCTCTTATTGATGAATTTTTAGGACGAGGCTTAATTTCCTCAAATATAATTTCAGATCAGGACTTATATAACCAAGCTTTAGATGTAATTAAATCAGGGCAATATTTGTCATTGCCGACCTCAATATCACTTTTCGAATTTGCACTTTCTCTACATACCAAAGCGCCAGCGATTCAAGCATACTATCATTATTATAATGCAACTGTAGTACCAAGTACAAAAGATTATATTGAAAACCACGAACATATGAAGTTTGATTCAGACTGTGATGTTTGGGTTAATTGGTATAGCAAGCAAGCTTGTAGTATTGAAGAATTTAAAAAGCTCACGGGAATTAACGATGATAATAAATTCAACATGGATATTAATATTGAAAGGTAGTTTTTTTAGAAAATAACATATGTAAAAAATTTTAAACGCATTTTGCATTTGAGAATAATTTCATATTTAACCAGATTATCAATAATGTTATAGTGATGCACCGTTTCCAAAGCTTTTACCCTTTGATCATATTCTACAATATAATGAAATCACACCTACAGCTATTTTATACGCTGATTTACTTTCACAGAATTTTTCGACTTTTCATAAATTCTTGTCTGATTTGGCCAAAAACGGAGTTATAAGCTATGTTTTGCGATATAGACCACCTAAAGAAAATTGCGACGCATTATATCTATCTGGATATGGTGTGGAATTGGCTTTGAAAAACACTGATTATATTGTAATAGATGATCGTAAGGTAGAAACAGGTAGAATAGTAGGTTTTTTTTTGAAACACCTGATTTTATTATATATTTTGGCAAATAAATTTTGGCTTTTGATTTATGGATAGGTGATGCGAACGAAAGTGACGAAAGTGTTAACCAAGAACCAGCGCTACAAGAAAAACCATCAATTGATCATTTATTTGATCAGCAAATATCCGAAATAAGACCTTTGAAATATGGCGAAATCAAAGGTAATTGTTTTATATTTTCTTAATTTAGATACGCATTATTATTTATTTGGCTATTTATTTTTATAGATCTTGGTCTCAAAGCTACACAATTTGTTTTGGAGGCCCAGAATCCATTATTAGCACTTTCACAACTATCACAAGATTTTCCAAAATATTCTGTCCCTATTTCACAAATTACATTAAATTCTTCATTTGAAGCAGAAATTCTATTCAACCAGCGATATAATACAGGTTTAGAAAGAAATTCTATTTGGATAAATGGACTAAATATAGATACAAGTTCTGTTAATCCATTTAGGTATTGCTTAATTACTAATTATTAATGCAAATATTTTTGGTATTCTTGGTGTTCCTTTAATTAATGTTATATTTTTGTAATATAGTTTATTGAAGACATTGCATCGAGAAAGACAAATTATATTATCTCTCAAAAGCCTTGGTTTGAGTTTGCAACAGTCTTTGGAGTTACTCGCGTCTCCCATAATTGTAGAATCAAAATCTTCTCAAGAACTTTTTAGAGGTGTTTTTGATGTACGCGATAAGTCTGAAAAAGAACATGTGGTTGTATGGTTAAATGATTTAGAAAAAGACGAACGATACGCTCACTGGCCTAGTCGTATTATTGAGGTATTTTAGTCTTCTGTACCGAAAAAAAAGGTACTTAAGTTATCTCTTTGTTATATCTTGCATCATTAATTTTCGGTCATAATTTCAATTTATTAGCTGCTTCGTCCTGTCTATCCAGGACAAATGCGGTATATACGCAGGAATTTATTTTCTGTCTTGTTTGTCCTTGACCTCTCTTCAGTGGGTAGTCTTAAAATTATTACCGAATATGTCAACATGATAATAGCTCGAGAAATTCCTATCCGGTTTGGTGTTGTTCCTATGTTTTCTGATGATCAATCAAATTGTAAGCAATTTTTTATAATTTTATCGCAATTAAATTTATCATCTCAATATACATAATATACTTTTTTTTTTTTTTTTTCAAAGCCCTCATGATAGCGCGAATATTTTACTATCTTGTGGATCAATATTCTACATCGTTTGCTATGAATTTTCTTACCCAAGTATATATTGAGAGTGAAAAATTGTTTCAAATTTAAATAATCTATAATAGTTATTTTGTTTAATTTTAAAATTTAGATTTATTCTGAAATCCATAAATCACCAAAAGATTTTGATGAAATAATTAAAAAAACATATAAAAATATAGTTGATGAAAACAAGTTAGATGACAAAAAAGACCATAGTACCTTTGAAGATATAATCAAATCAGATGAATCTCCAGTTAGTGAACAAATGAAGGGTGCAGCCGAGTTCATTCGACGATTCCAAATAAGCCCAAAAAGCAATGGTGTTTTCTTCGTAAATGGGAAATATTTTGATATGGATGAGGTACGTGACATTATGAATTCAAATAATTGGAACTTTAGGGATGTTATGTGGTCTGATCTAAACTAATAGACCGCAGTTAGTTTTAAGACCAGTCCAGAACTGAAAAAAATTGGTCTGCTCTTAGTCTTAAGACCAGATCAGTCAAAAGACCAGTCTGACTATAGACTATTAAAACTAGACTAGGACTGACCAAAATAGACTGTTAACATCTCTAATTGGAACTTTATATAAATAGCATGTATAGAGTTTGGATTCGGAATTTTTATTTAAATTCAGATTTAATATGAAAATTCTGAATTTTTAAATTTTGACCTTACACATGTATTTTGACGATTATACATTAAACGCATCACAACATTCGTTTATATACATAAATTTAGAACTATCAACGTAATATGATTCAAATGATCAGCGAATATACGGGATTTTTGCAGCAAAAAGTAAGGCCAATTATATTTTCCTAAAAATTAGATATTTATAATATATATTAATGAGTTATATTATTATTTTATTAGGTTTATGTAGGAGAAATTAAAGAGGGCACCAATATTTATGATTATTTCATGTCTATGCCCAATGTTCCAGCCAGAAGGAATTCGTATATTTTTGTATCGGATACTCAGCCTTTGAGAGTTGTTAATTTAGTTAGCGATAAAGAGGGAAATAGTGTACCCATTAACAATTTAAGATATACCCATTCTGGTAAGAGAATTTTATCATGTTTTATCGTATAATGTCGAAAATACTTAATAATCGCTGGATTTAGAGAATCAAACTGGGGAAGAAATTTTCGTGACAATACTAGTCGTTTCGGATTTCAATAAAGAATATGGCGTAATGCAAGGATTAGAAGCATTAAATTTTTTGGTATGGGAAATTGAGCTATATATAAATTTGCATATACCAATATAATGTTTTAAATTCATTCATTTTATTTTAATTTATTTATTTATTTATTTTTTTTTTGCAGGATGAATCGCCAAATGTGCGAATATCTTTTATCCATAACCCATCAAACGATACTAGTGAAAGTATGATGTCATCAATGATTCATTACCTATTATATGAAGTTGCAGACTTGCCGGAACATGTGTCATTCAAGTCTGTATTTAGAGAGTTTTTGGATAAAATTTCAATAGACAAAAAACATGTTGAAGGTGGTAGTGATAAAAACCAAATTCCAATCGGAGAAACTATAAATTCTGCAATATCAGCTGGATGGCAAATGATCGATAATTTGAAAGCTGACAAATATTGGAAAGATATGAAACCATTCATTAAAAATTTGCTAAAATTAAAAAACGGAGAGACTGCTTTCATCGTAAACGGCCGCGTAAATATATTTTATTTTTCTCCCTTAAAATATGCATATATACTTATTTTTTTTTCGATTTAGATTGTTGGGCCTATTAATCCGGAAGATTTGTTTACCATTGATGATTTCGAACTATTGACTGATACTGAATTTATCGAACGCATCAGTCCTGTTATTGAGGCCGTACAAAATCTCAAACTAGATTTAACATTAGAAGGGTATTTATATTTATTTGGTCTTGATTTTTAATATATATCTACATATTCATCATTATGTATATTGAATAAATGCATAGACCGAATTATTCTGATTTCTTTATGAAGGCAACCTCCGTAGTTTCCGTTTCTGGTGTGTCGGACGTTCCAGTTGGCCTCTTTGATAACGAAGATAATAAACGTAATCTCTTATACCAAACTATAAAGAGCGATTATGGGTGCATATATTTATTTGAGATTAATTTTTTTCCATATAAAAAAATCAAACATGTTAATGTAATCGTCCGTTATATTGTATATTTAATTTTAGTCGAATAAAAATTGGTCAGGAAGAAACTGCAACATATCACATTGCCGCGGTTGTTGATCCATTAAGTCAGACAGCACAGAAATTGTCAACAATTTTGATGGTAATTATTAAATACATGCTTTAAATTGTGACCGGTTTTGGTATTTATCCATAATTTAAATAATTTAATTTATTTCAGACATTATCTCAAATTGAGGGTGTGTACACTGATGTGTACTTATATCCTCAATTAAATTTGAAAGAATTACCAATAAAGCGTTTCTATCGATATGTTTTGGAGCCTCGGTTGACATTTAACATAACAACAGGGTAAAGTTCATATGTCATTTTCATTTTTATATAAATTTAAATTTACTAATCGAATTTTAAATTTTTGTTGTCAAGTTCTCTTATCCCGCCAACTGCTCATTTTGCTCACCTTCCAGAAGATCCGTTATTAACTCTTGGAATGGATGTAATTCAATCATGGCTAGTCGCACCAAAAGCATCGATACATGATTTGGATAATATTCGTCTGGCCAACTTAGATAGTCGATCTAGGGTTAAAGGAGTAGATGCACTCTTTGAATTAAAAAATATTCTTGTAGAAGGACATGCATTTGATATTACCTCAAGTGCACCACCCAGTGGCCTTCAACTTCTGCTTGGTACTAGTAATTATCCTGAGATGGTTGATACAATTGTGATGGCTAATTTTGGATATTTACAATTAAAAGCAAATCCTGGCGTCTGGACACTCACTTTAAGAGAGGGAAGGTCAAAAGAAATATATGATATCCTAAGTGTTGGTAGCGAAGGATGGTTTAGTCGTACCGTTAATGAGACTGGTAATGAAATAGTTTTAAACAGCTTTGAAGGGTTGATAATTTATCCTCGTTTGGTACGTAAACCGGGAAAAGAAAATGAAGATATTTATAAGGATGACGCAAGTGATAGTATTTGGGATTACTTCAGGTAAGTAATATCGTGAACTCTATTTGTTCTAGTTTTACTTCCAAAAGCTGATTATTAAAAACACTATACATATTCTTTGTTAAGGTTCACATCGAAACAAGATATTCCTAAACAAAACAAAGCTGATATAAATATATTTTCTGTGGCATCCGGACACCTTTACGAAAGGTTCTTGTCTGTAATGATTCTTAGCGTATTGCTACATACAAAGAGTAATGTGAAATTTTGGTTCATTGAAAATTTTTTGTCACCTTCCTTTAAAGTAAGCAAATTGCGCTTCTATAAATCTTCAAAAATAGTGGTTAGGCATGACTAAAATTCTTACTATGTGTTAATACGTTTTATAGGATTTTATACCACACATGGCTAGAGAATATGGTTTTGAATACGAGCTTGTCACGTATAAGTGGCCGCATTGGCTGCGTGGTCAGACAGAGAAGCAACGAACGATATGGGGGTAAATTCTTAATTATGATACATATAGTATGTTCATCATATTTTACTAAACATTTACACTTTCTTTGTTTAGATATAAAATTTTGTTTCTTGATGTTCTTTTTCCTCTAAGCCTGGACAAAGTTATATTTGTTGACGCTGATCAAATTGTCCGAACTGATCTCAAGGAATTAGTTGATATGGATTTAGATGGCGCACCATATGGATATACTCCATTCTGTGATAATAGACCAGAAATGGATGGGTTTAGATTTTGGAAGTCTGGATACTGGAGTGATCATTTGAAAGGAAAACCATATCATATTAGGTATATTTTGGTATTTATATCTACAGTTTGCAAGTTCATAATAGTGGATGACTTTTTAACTCGCTTATATTTGTTTAAAGTGCTTTATATGTGGTTGATTTGCAAAGATTTCGTCATATGGCTGCTGGAGATAAAATACGTGGTCAATATCAGTATCTTAGTGCAGATCCAAATTCTTTGTCGAATTTAGATCAAGATTTGCCAAATAACATACAGCAAATTGTTCCAATATTTTCTTTGCCACAAGAATGGTTATGGTGTGAGACGTGGTGTAGTGATGAATCATTAGCTACAGCGAAAACTATCGATCTGGTAATAATAATAAATAATAATAATATCAATAGTATTTGTTTAATATACTTTATATTAACGTCCTGTTCAATTTAGTGCAACAATCCTTTAACAAAGGAACCTAAACTCGATAGGGCAAAGCGTCAAATTCCCGAATGGGAGTCTTATGACAACGAAGTGGCTGCTTTAGCGGCAAGGATTGCGCAGCAAAAGGTTCCAATATCAGACAATCAGCAAAGTATACCAGAAAAAACTGGTTCACGAAAAACGGAGCCAACCACCTCTATAATAGCAGCGCCTGTTACTCCCCATGATGAGTTATAAGTGAGTTCCAGGTAGAGTTTTACCCAACCCTATTTTTTAGTATGACATTACGACTTAGTTTTGGTTTGGAATTTGGAATTTCTACTTGATTTGGTTTATGACCCAAATATATATCCACATTGTTAATTAATAGTTTCAAACTTAGAAATTAATTAAATTTGTTTTATTTTTTTAAAGTTTTTTATTAGATTATTATAATAAATAAAAAATATATATTGTAATAAAAGTAAAAAAAAACTTACAATTCTTAAATAATTTATATTCTATATTTACTATATTTAATTTTAATATTATGTTTAATATTTTAATTTTATATTTTATGTTTAATTTTAGTAAAATATGGAGTATCTCGTGTTAAGAGCCCATTTGGCAATATCAATATAACGATAAACAATTTTGAGTAAATCAGGATCGACAAATAGGAAACCATAGGGTTAAAAGAACTTTTTATTATAAGTTATCTATCAACTTCAAAAAATCAAATATAAAACTTTTCAAAAATTGTCAAAATGGGTCCTTTTAATACGATATTTATAAAATATTATTACAAATTATAGAGAACATAGTACAAATTATTTATATATAATATAAAAACTATATTTTATTAAAATTTAAAACAATTACACAAAGGTTTTTATTATTATAATCTGTTATCTGTTATATGTAATAATTAATTAAAATGCTTAATTTTTACATGTAAAAATTTTAGATTGGATTTATACCTAACCCCGCAACCCTAGGTACAATACAAAGAACGTTTTGAATGATCCTCACAGGTAAAATGATATCCAATAAGGTAGACATCCCCTATTGGATATCATTTAACTGTGCCTTATACATAGAGATTCATTTTATTGACATAAGCAATCATTTATACTCTGGTTTTAATATAGGGCACTGAATATGGCGCTCTTTGGTATACAGTATACAGTTAGTACTTCCTAAGCTTGTTCTGTCACATTTACAGAAATTCAAGTAAATTGTTATATCCTATTTAATATTATTAAATTATTAATTAAATTCTCACTTTTCACAATAAAAAATATTTCAGCTAAAAATACAAAGATAGTACAGACATACAGTAAATAAAACAATACAGGTTGTTAAATTAGTAATTATCGAAGGTAAATTTTCTTCCAAAAGTTGATCCAAAAGTAGAATATATGCTATTAATTATTCTATTCGACTCATTCAAAATAGATGAATCGTCTGAAGAGTTATTTGCAGCCGTTGTTTGTTGTTGTTTTGATGTTTGTGTTAGATCTCGATTTGAATGTTCAAATTGATCTGAAGACTTTTAAAAAATACGAAATATTATTAATCAAAAAGGAACTAAAAAAAAGACCTCAAAAAATGTAACATACTATTTCATTAGTGGAATCGTTAAGGTTTGTCGAATCATTGACGATATTTTCTTGTCTAGAAGTTCTTTCAACGTCAAATTTTGAAAGTAGATCATTAACAATACCTTGTCTTGGTATTGGAATACTATGTACCGAATTTGATGTCTAAAATAAATAATTTTTTTTAGTATCACATTTAGATTTACGTGTAAAAATGTGTTGAATTAGGGATCACATTACTTTTTCACTATCATTACTATTATTGTTATCTCTCTTATTATTATTATTATTATTATCGTTATTGAATTTGGATAATAATTTTTCTTTTATATCGGCAACTGATGGACCACAATTATGATCAATACCTCCATCAGAATGATGAAATACATGAATGCCATATTTTGGTCTAAATTCATCATTTGATTTTGTAATGTGTTGTTTCTGCTTAAGGTTAGAAGTAATGCAATTAACTTTTGAAGATTGATTTGGAGATACTGAAGGTGAATTAGGTAATGTGCGAACGGGAAGATCAATAGGAAATGAATGAACTAAATATTGGGTTTCAAAACTATATTTATTTTTAATTTTTTTATTGCTAGAATTTTCGTTTTCTTCA